GTCAGATAGATTAAGCTTCCTTCCTGTGTTTATTCTTCTACTGCTGTCCCTTTGAAGTAGACTGATAGGTATCAGGGAAATTGCCTCTCCCTCCTCCTGTTCACTCTCTCCCACAACACACTTCTTGCATACACCAAGAGGGAGGATGCACTATCTCCAACTTGGCACCATGAAGCAGAGGGCCCTCTTGCCATCTGCATCCATCCTTAGCAAGTCAGACTAGAATACTGTCCCTATCCTGGCCTATCTAGAATGTAGTTCCATAATAAATAGACTTCTTTTGGTATTTTTGCATTTGTGTGTGTGTCTGCACTTGAAAGTCATGTCGACCTCTGATGACTGACCCTACTGGGGGCCTGGAGAATATTCAGAGAGGTTGCTGAATAAAGCCTGCCCCAGTCCAGTTTGGTGTAGTGGTTAAGTGCGCGGACTATAGTCTGGGAGAACCGGGTTTGATTCCCCACTCCTCCACTTGCACCTGCTGCATCCTTGGGCAAGCCGTTGTTCTGTCGGAGCTGTTTTCTCAAGCGCAGTTCTCTCAGAGCTTTTTTCATAAACCTTCCCATCCAATTTTCATGTGATATCAAAGCCACCGTGGATCGTCAGGAGAGTTTAAGAAACCGAGGCTCACTGGAAGCGCAGGAGGTCATTGTGCCGCCAGAGGAAGAGACGGCACCATCTGGTTGATTGTCCTCTGAGCCGGAGAGCGCCCATGCCTTCTCGCATGGTCCTTTTTGGGGAGGAATCCAGCCTCCACCGCCCCACTCCCTGCCAAACCCCTTTGGGACCTTCTATTCCTGTAACTCTCCAAGCTGCAGCCTTGAGATAAAGCCTAGCGGGGCCGCCAGCATAAAGGGAGGCTAGCCGGCCTGATGTGTTCCAGGAGGGTTGTTGTTTTTTTAATAAAAGAAGCAAGGATGACTTTTGGTCAGCGCACTGCTGTTCAATGGCTCATCCTCAAAGTCTGACCTCAGGCAATCGTTTATGGAACGTGAATCTTGTTTACTCTAACCCATCTGGACCCGCGGTGTGACACGCCGCAGATGTTTCTGGGACAGGCTGGAGAGCAGAGGTGGTCACCTTCTGGATCCGGGGGTCCCCGAGCTTTTTGAGCCTTTGGTCACCTTTGGAATTCTGATACCGTGAGGCGGGCGCAGCTGCAAAATGGCTGCCGCGGGAGGCAGAGCGAGCCACAAAATTGCATCCCTCCGGTCACACAGCGAAGGTCCTCGTGCCGCCGTGGCAAAGCGATGTTTTTAAAAGTCTGCGGATCCGATCGAATCCCCAGGGGCCAGTTGGAAGCCTTGCTGGGTAAAAGTCCCACCTGCCTCCCCCCACCCACCCCCACTTTCTTTTTAAAATGTATTTTATTATACAATTACAAACGATTTAAAGAGAAAACAGATTTGCATCAACAGGATACCAAAAAAAAATCAAAATGACACATTAAATGGATAAGAAAATTGAACTGGGGATAATAGCCGATACTGAATCTATTGGTTGGTACGCAGGGGCCATTTTGTAGAAAAAGAGGTGCAGGAGCTCATTAGCAAAACATATTTGCATATGCCATACCCCCTGACATCACTGGAAGTGTGTCAGAAGGCAACACCCACTGCTAAGGCTCCACTGGACTGTTTTGGATTGCTAGCTATCGGGGGGGGGGACATACAGATCTGATCTCACAGAGGAGGGAGAGCTTGTACCTAAAGGCGGGGTGGGGGGTGGGCCTCTGCACTGTACCTGGCTGCTTCTTGCTCCTCGTGGCCTGACTGAGGGCTGCTGGGAGCAGGGGGCGGGGCTTGTTGCATGTCCTCGCCCTCTGAGCTCCATACTGCCGGAGCTCCGCTCCTGTGCGCTCCCGCAGGAAGTGACCCCTGGTTGGTAGTAATCTAATAACCTCAGCATAGGAGCATACAACAATGAGGACATAAACTGCCAAGTACTAAAACGTTATCATTATGTCAGAAACACTTAGTGGGCCCCAGGAAAGGGGTTAGTGGGCATCATGGGCATCTGTGCAAAGAAATATTTTCTTTTGTCCATTCTGAATTAGGGGTGTGCATGGGGGAAAAATTCGGTATTTTTCGGGTTCGGGTAAACCGAACTCAAAAAAATTTCGGTAAATGCCGATATTCCCGAATCCCCGTATCGGTATCCAAGAATACAGTATCGGCACCAAGAATACAGAGCATCACTTGCCCCAGACCGAGAGTTTCTATCTATACCTTGTGGCTAATAGCCACTGATGGGTATTAGCCCTGAGCTTCCCTAGCCTGCCTGCCACTGCAGGCCGACTGGGGAGACGAAGGCAGATGTGGGAGACATTTTTAAATGCCTCCCCAGCCAGCCTGCCAAGTTGGGCCGGCTGGGGAAGCAAAGTGAGAAGGGGTTTTAAAAGTTTGAACTTTGTACCCTGTGGAGCCATAAGGTACAACGGAGAGATCATGCCGCCCCTGCGGTACGGTTCGAGAGTTTAAACCCCTTCTCTGGAGTCATGCCACATCTGCAGTGCGATCTCTCCATTGTACCCTATGGCCCCAGATCAGAGAATCTGATTCGGCTTTCGGCATGCCCGAATAATGCCGAATGGGCATTATTCGGGGTTTTCTTTGGTTCGGCAGCACCGAATGCACATCCCTATTCTGAATCTACTGTTAATCAGCTTCATTGGATGCCCTCGAGTTCTAGCATTTTGGAAGAGGGAATAAAGTTTTCTTTGCCCACTCTCCCCACAATAACAGAGGACCCACTCCGTTCATACCTGTTCTGCCTCCCTCATTATGGCTGGCCGAAACAAAAGTCTGCACAGATGCTGCTGGAGTACACAGTAATCATCATCTTGCAAAGATACATCTGCAGTTGGCAAGAACATGGCTAGATTTTGAATTGAAGAAGAGTTGGTTTTATACCCCGCTCTTCACTACCTGAAGGAGTCTCAAAGTGGCTCACAATCCCTTCCCCTCCCCCATCCCACAACCCCATGAGGTAGGTGGGGCTGAGAGAGCCCTTTTGAGAACTGTGACTAACCCAAGGTCACCCAGCTGGATTCATGTGGAGGAGAGGGGAATCAAACATGGTTCGCCAAATTAGAGTCCACCGCTCTTAACCACTACACCGTACTGCAGAACACCATCTACCAGTCAAATATCTGACTGTGATGCTTTATAAAATTATGCATTGGGTGGAGAGGGTTGACAAAGAAAATTTTTTGTCCCTCTCCCAAAAGCCTAGAACTCGAGGACATTGAATAAAGCTGATGGGCAGTAGGTTCAGGACGCACGAAAGGAAATACTTCTTTATACAGTGAGTGATTAAGATGTTGAATTGGCTGCCAGAGGATGTTGTGATGGCCACAGGAATAAACAGCTTTAAAATAGGATTAGATAGATTAATGGAGGATGTCGGTCAATGGCTACTAGCCCTGGTGACTGAGGGGAGCCTCCACACTCAGAGGCACGAATCCTCTGAATCCCTGAGCCAGGAGGCAACATCGGGGGAAGGCCTCGGCCTCTCTGCCCTGTTTTTGACCCTCCAGAGAAACTGGTTGGCCACTGTGTGAGAGAGGATGCTGGATGGACCACCAGTCTGATCCAGCAGGGCTCTTCTTAGGTTCTTATGAAAGCCCTGGCCACTGTGCCCTGTTGCTGGCCCTCCAGAGGAACTGGTTGGCTGCTGTGTGAGACAGAATGCTGGACTAGAGGGACCCTCACTGGTCTGACCCAGCAGGGCTCTTATCATGTTCCTCTCAGGGGAAGGTGTCGGCCTCTCTGCCCTGTTGTTGGCCATTCAGAGGAACTGGTTGGCCAGTACATGAGACAGGATGCTGGACTACTGGTTTGACCCAGCAGGGCTCTTCTGATGTTCTTATGAAGGCCTCGGCCTCTGCGCCCTGTTGGTGGCCCTCCAGTGGAACTGGTTGGCCACTGTGTGAGACAGGATGCTGGACTAGATGGGCCACTGGTCTGACCCAGCAGGGCTCTTCTTATGTTCTTATGAAGGTCTCGGCCTCTATGCCCTGTTCTTGGCTATCCAGAGTAATTATTTCATCATCATCATCATCATCATCATCATCATCATCAAAATACAGCATCATTTATGTGTACAACAGTTGACAGAAAAACAAATACAGACTTTTCAAGGGAAAAGAATAAAGTGGAAGAATATTCACAAATGTGACTGCACATATTCAGGCTCAGCTGTAGTAGGGTTGGAGGTAAAGGTAAAGGTTCCCTTGCTCGAAAGCCAGTCGAATCCGACTCTAGGGTTGCGGTGCTCATCTCCATTTCAAAGCCGAAGAGCCAGCGCTGTCCGAAGACATTTCCGTGGTCATGTGGCCGGCATGACTAAACACCGAGGCGCACGGAACACTGTTACCTTCCCAGCGAAGTGGTCCCTATTTATCTACTTGCAATTTCTTGCTTTCGAACTGCTAGGTTGGCAGGAGCTGGGACTAGAGATGGGAGCTCACTCCATCATGCGGCACCCGGGTCTCGAACTGCTGAACTACTGACCTTCCACAGCCTGCAGTTCAGTGTCTTAACCAGTACTTGCGGCTTAAGGAAGGGTGTTGAGCAGAGAGAAAGAGATGGCACCTTGGAGGCATTGCGGGAGGGAGTTCTGAGCGAGCGGCAGGGTAGAATGGGAAGGATCTTTTCTTAGTAGCCAGATACCCCTTCCACGCAGAGGGCAGTAAAACCGGAAGACGGAAGTTTAGGATATATCGAGGTCAGAATGGAGAGAGGGGAAATGGAAAAGGAAGCTCTTCTCAGTTGACTGTAGTAGCTGTCAGATCCAAGAGCTGCTACAGTCACTGTGGGACTTCCTACTATGTGGAGCCCGCTGTGTGGATCCGTGCGTCTCTGCCATTTGAAAGTGATCATTGGCCCTTAATGCCGGGAGGGGGGAAACTGTTCCAGGGTGTTCCTTCGGGTGTCGTTACAGCCCATCCGATGGCAGCAAATGAAGCCACGCATTGATGAGTCTTCCTCTTCCTACAGGAAAACTTGATCAAGAGCCCTCTGGGAGAACCGCTGCTGGACATGGTCTGCAAAACCCTGAAGCCCAACTTCAACCGAAGTCGAGACCACTGCCTGGTGAGGCTGGCCTCTATCACGGGCGATCCCAACGCCGTGGCTATTGTCAACGTATCCGTGCAAAGTAAGTGCCACGTCTGTCCTGGACAGCCTCAAGTGCTGGAGCCAAGGTCTTCTCATCTGGGCCCTGCCGCCACTTGCGTGAATCTTCCTATAGAGCCGCACCCACAAAGAGTTACCAGGGTTACGAGTCCTCATAGGCACTAGGGGAGGGGCTGTGGCTTAGTGGAAGAGCTTCGGTTTTTCATGCAGAAGGTCCCAGGTTCAGTCCCCAGCAACTCCAGTTAAAAGGTCCAGGCAGTGGGTGATGGGAAAGACCTCAGTGGCTCAGTGGCAGAGCATCTGCTTGGCATGCAGAAGGTCCCAGGTTCAGTCCCCGGCATCTCCAGTTAAAAAGGACCAGGCAGGAGGTGATGTGGAAGACCTCAGCTTGAGACCCTGGAGAGCTGTAGCTCAGTGGTAGAGCCTCTGCTTGGCATGCAGAAGGTCCCAGGTTCAATCCCAGGCCTCCAGTTAAAAGGACCAGGCAGTGGGTGATGTGGAAGACCTCGGCCTGAGACCCTGGAGAGCCGCTGCCAAGCTGAGTAGATGGTACTGACCTTGATGGTACTGACCTTGATTCAGTAGAAGGCAGCTACTTGTAACAGTTCTGTTCAGGTCAGGGCTCATGGCTCAGAGGCAGGGCATCTGCTCGACATGCAGAAGGTCCCAGGTTCAATCCCCGGCATCTCCAGCTAAAAGGTCCAATTCATAGGTGATGTGGAAGACCTCCGCCTGAGACCCTGGAGAGTCTGAGTAGACAATACTGACCTTGATGGACCAAGGGTCTGATTGAGTAGAAGACAGCTTCATGTGTGTTTCATGTTTGATTCTCCGCCATCCCGGCAGCCTTGGTATTCACCCAGTAAGCTTCTCGTTGGCCACTCAGGGCTGCCCATCAGGAGGTGCCGGAGCTATAATCAGTGCTCTCAGTGATGGAGCAGAGGTCCATCAGTGGCTATTAGCCATATGGTATAGATGGAACCCTCTGCCTGGGACAGGGATGCTCTGTCTTCTTGGTGCTGGGGGGGGGGCAACAGTGGGAGGGCTTATGGAGTCCTGGCCCTGCTGA